GCGGTTCACTATCTAAAGCAGACCGAAGTGGATGGAAAGATTCCAGTTAATAACAATGAATTTTGGCTCAAGTCCGATGTCTCTGAAGATTTCCCCACTTGCCTCCCAGAACAACAACTGGGAAAAACATGTAGTGCATAATTTCTGTAGTATGAAATAACGTGCCAGCTATTCCAGACCAGAAGACCTTTTCCATATGCTCTGAGGTATGCCATATACTATAAGCAAAACATACAGAGCCATCATCTGTAAACATTAGTGCTGCTTTATATTATAGCATTTTGTCAATGAATGTCAGTTCAATCAGAAGAAAAGTTGCATGATATATCATAATGAAATCAGAATTAAATTGCTTAATTATAATATATTGCTTAATTATTTCAGGCCTGGCAGTTGACTATTTTATTTTGTAATGGAAGACACAATTTGCAGTGATGGCTTTCAGCTAATTAAAAATTAAGGCAAATGTAATTTATTTGCTTCCAGTTTTGGAGCTCTATTTTGAAAATATACTAGGAGAACTAAATTGGAGTGTTACACTTTCATTTATTTAAAAGACGGAAAAAACAACAAAACAGAGTGTTTCTCTGATCTCTAAGAACAATCCTCGGTAGAGTCCTAGTGCAGTTAGAGGTCTCCACATCTAATGAGGCGTGCACAAATGCTTTGAGACTTGCTACAGAGCCTTTGACCTTTACACGCCAATGACACTGTCCTGATATTTTAAATAGGTGTGAAGGGGCTGAAAAAGAATCTTGTCCCAGAAAAAGCTTTCTGCAGTAAAGAATTTTCTGAAGAGCACATGCCCATTCGCTTATAGAGATAACATCTGATGGCTTCTATTATTGTAATGCTGCAGCTTTCCACAATAATGGTATAAACACTGTGGTATTATTAGAGACTGTGGAGTACTGGATAATTAGATTTAAATTGGCCTTTTACAAAAAAAGGGGTTACTATAATGCTGCAGTGCATCACTGAAGGTAAAGATCTACAAAATACTAGCCGATTATCTGCCATTTATGAAATGGCAGTTGCAAGCAAAAATTTCTTATAGGTTAAGAATGAAATGTCACAGAATTCAATTATGATTTCCAGTTCAGTGTTCACTACAATAATTATAGTGTTAGGTATGAAACAATACATGTTGCATGTGCAACATGCAGTCATAAATAAGAGTACATTTGTAGCATAAATAAAAGCATTTACATGTTTCTATAAAACACAGCATAGACTGTATTCCCTGAGCGTGCTGATTCTTTGGTGTATCACCGCCCATCCATAGCAGAACCATATAATCACTATAAGACAGATGTAAAACAAAACAACAAAAAAATACAGGGAACACTTCAAAGTAATGCTTGTCCTCTCTATACAGAAGTAGGTAAGTGTTGACTGAAAATCCTGAGGTGATGATTTGAAACCTTCAGGAACCTTACTGTTCCCTATGCAAGGAAAATTCTGACAAAAATTAGTATCAGCTCAAACTTCTATGTAATTTCTACATCATTTCCTCTGAAAAGGAAGCATCTGAATAATACACAAATGCACTCTGGAGAATTCACAAGAAGCAAGAGATTTCCTTATGGAGGTACAAAGGATTGTCTGACTGCCTTAATGTGCTGGTATGGATCCTGGTGGTGAGAGTCCCGTTGGAATGCACCTCTTAAGAGAAAGCAACTTTATAGCAACTACTCTTAACAGAAAAGAAGAAGAAGAAGTCTTCAGATGTGTCTGACTATGGAGCATGGAGTAGCCTCTGGAAATCTGAAAGCTGAAAGAATGTGTTCCAGGGGTAACAGCCTGTCTTTGCAAACATTCAGGCATATCCAAAGTAAGGTGTGGGGGGGACTAATTCCATGGGAAAATTTTACTTGTTTTAAATTCTTTTTGAAAAATAAACTGGATGGTGAGAAAATTAATGAGAGATGTGCAATGTTCACAGTGATTCACGTGAAAGGGAGATTTTCAGGATTTGGAATGAGAGCAAAACTCAGAGTATTGTATAATTTTTGGCAAATCATGGGGAGATTTATGATGGAATTATAAAACAAACAAAAAAAAACAACAAAAAACCAAAAGGCCCAAAGGGCAACAAAGCCAATTTGTTTTCTGGTGGTTTTTGTGTGGTTAAATTACAGCAGGTATACCATAGCAGCTGCTGAAGGACTTAGTGAATACTTAAGCCCATGGAAATAAAATTGGTGACATTGCTTCTGCATGGTGGATTTCAGACAATTTAATTTTGCTCATTCCTCCTCTTATCTGCTGAATACAAACTGGATGGATTGAGACAGCGAATAGGTCAGACATCCCCTGCTGACCAAACCATTCCATCCCAATGAGAAATTTTCTGCCAAGTGTCCTTTTACCTTGCTGCCTCTCAAATATTTCTGCCATACTAAAAATTAAAATCAATGGAATTATTAAAAACATACAAATATAGTGTTACTATGAGTAATTGTATAAGTTTTCAGAAGTAATTGTCACTATTCTTTCAATGTTTAATGCTGTAACTATAGTAGAGCTGGTCACTGTACCACAATAAGCATGCAAAGTAGTAAATTGGAATCTATATCATGGTATTTTCTGGACAGCTTGTCTGTTCAGCATCCCAAACATGATACCTCAGCAGTTACATCCAGTTTGGAATGTACTAAAAAAACTTATCCGTTAAAGAAAAAAAATCACATTAACATCAGTTGTGTTCCTTTATCATTTTTTTTACAGCTCCTGGGAACTGAAAGAGAAAGAAACGATGAGCTTTCAGTGTTGATATGTCCAGAGTAAGTATGCAGTGTTACCAGAGAATGGTTTGACACAGCATTGAAAATCTACCCTATTCCATTAGACTTTTAAATAAAATTAATTCATCATTAAGAAAAAGGGAACATTACCAGAATGTCTAAAGATATCTACAATAAATGATGTCTTCTTAGATTTAAGTATTCTGGGATGTTAATAATATATTTTTTACTCATTCATCTTCCTATTAATGGAATACGCTATCTTTCTAGCTTCAGTAATGGACATCTATTTTAAAAGACAAGCTCGGAAAAAAGACTTTCTTGGCTTTTTATAAAGATGGGTCTCTAACTACATTATCAGAAGAAAGGAAGGTCGCAGTAAAGAAGTCATATCAAAACAGCCTTTTCACAACTTCCACAAAGGCTTACAATGCAATCCAGATTTAGTACTGCTTTAGAGAAGGTACATGAAAGACCTGACATTTCATCAGGAAAAAAGTTCTGATGAAGAACCTTGGTAGGGGAATTCAGGTGTCCTGTCTGTGCTGTTACCA